AATTATTCTGTCAACCTAGCTGCTGACACTTGGGAAGTCGGGAGTTCCTAGAGCAATGGAAAAACTCCTTTGGTACTATAGTTGGTCTACACTATGCACTGGTTATGCTGGCAGAGCGACGCTGCCATAGCTATGCTTCTGTAGCCTCCATATGGCCTCAGACTGCTATCTTACTCCAGAACAGAATTTCTCAAACTTTTCAGGTTGACGATCCCTTTTTCAAAGTAAAAAATATTCACAAACTCTTTATATTTACTCTAAGGCTACGTCTACATTGTGCACTCCTGCGCAAGAAGATATGCAAATGAGGTGCAGCGATGAATATCACTGCACCTCATTTGCATATCTAATGAGTTGCCATTTTGCGCAAGGGGCATCCTTGTGCAAGCACCTCTTGCGCAAGAGCCGTTCTGCCTGAAAATAAGCGGCTTGTGCAAAAGCCCCTTGCGCAAAAATGGTGGCTCATTAGGTATGCAAATGCGGTGCGGTGATATTCATTGCCACACCTCATTTGCATATCTTCATGTGCAAGAATGCACAATGTAGACATCACCTAAGAGTAAAATAATCTATTCAGAATAACAACGCTAAGTCTCTAGAATCCATTTGTGTTTCAAAAGTAAGGTTGCCAGGTGTCTGGTATTCACCCAGACAGTCTGGTATTTTCGCCTCCTGTCCGTTAAAAAAATTCAGAGAATATCGGACGTCTAAATGTCCAGTATTTTCTGATTTTTTCCTTGGCCAGGAAGTGAAAATGCCAAGTACCTGGCAACCCTACAAACACTCAGTGCCTGGCTTCCCCCCCATCCCCCCAGGCTTCCCAATACCCCCAGCCCCCCAACCCCAGCCCTCATGCTTACCTGGTTCCACAAGGCTGCCGGCACAAAATGGCTGCCAACCAAGGGGAAGCAATGCTGCCCCTGGGTCTTAGTGCTCAACTTCTCCCCTGTTCCTATCCCTGCACTCACTCTTAAAGGGGACATGCTGTTAATTTTTTTTGCTCAACAACTTTGGGCCCCCCCCCCCCCTTTTTTTCTTCAATAGAATTTTTTTCCTGGTGTTTTTTTGGGGGGGAGGAGAGGGGGGGATTTTTTCCCCCAGTGTTTTTTTTGGGGGGAAGGGGTGTTTGGTATTTGTGTTTCAAACATCTGGCGACCCTAGTTTCAAGAGGCTGGCAAAGAATGTTTGATCTTGAAGTTGCTCAACAACTTTGGGCCCCCCCCCCCCCTTTTTTTCTTCAATAGAATTTTTTTCCTGGTGTTTTTTTGGGGGGGAGGAGAGGGGGGGATTTTTTCCCCCAGTGTTTTTTTTGGGGGGAAGGGGTGTTTGGTATTTGTGTTTCAAACATCTGGCGACCCTAGTTTCAAGAGGCTGGCAAAGAATGTTTGATCTTGAAGAATAGTGATAGAAATGTAGCCGTGTTAGTCTGGCGTAGCTGAAACAAAAAACAGGAGGGTCTGGCCCACGAAAGCTCATCACCTAATAAACCATCTTGTTAGTCTTTAAAGTGCTGCATAGTCCTGTTTTTTGTTTGATCTTGAAGAGTAAGAGTACAGAGGGAGTGAGGTCTGCTTTAGCTCCAAGAACACTTTCAGAGCCTTGCACGCTTCCTCCACCACCATATTGGACTTCATGGCGCACACACACCCCAGTGGTGGTGACCTAGTGGTTGAGAAAACTTGCTCTAGAGCAGCAGTTCTAAAACTGTGGGTCATGACCCCTTTTGAATGGGGTCCTCAATGATGGCTTAAACTTGCTGTGGCCCAGGGCTGAAGCCTGAGCCCATTGCACAGGGCCAAAGCCAAAGCCTGAGGGCTTCAGCCCCGGGCAGCAGGACTCAAGTCATAGGCCCCCTGAATGGAGATGAAACCCTTAAGCTTCAGCTTTGCCCCTACACTCACCCAGAGTGCTGAGGCTCAGGCGTTGGCCCCCTCCCCTCTCCTGGTGCAGAGGGGCTTGGGTGACCTCAAGCTTCAGTCCACTTCCTGGGGCCACGAAGTCGTTTTTGCTGTCAGAAGAGGGTCATGGTGCAATTGAGAACCCCTGCTGCAACAGCAATGATGGGACTTGAGAGGTATCTGGAACCTGGGAATAGGGCCAGGGCTATATGATAAACTTACACCAGTGCAAGTGTCTCAGAGGGGTAGCCATGTTAGTCTGTAACTTTAAAAACAACATGCGGTCCTCTGGCAGCTCAGAGATTAATAAATATATCTATGGTACTCTGAGCTTTCGTGGGCACAACCCACTTTCTCAGAGGGGGGAATTTTTACAGAAGGAAGCAAACCCAGGTCTTCGGAGTGCAATTCCATTGTCCAGAAGTTTGCCTGTAGCAAGGAACAATGCTTTAAAAAAGAATTGAATCTTTGGCATTCAAACACTGGGTCTAAAGCACAAGACATGCATCCCTCTTTGGACACATCTTGTGTGGATCGGATTGGAGATTTGAATTTTGATCTAAACTGTGGCCAGTGTTATGTAACCTTTGCTTTCCAAAGTCTTCGGAAATACACACATATTCTTTGAGTGGCTTTGGCAGTGCAAAGGGGCTGAAAAGCAGCTGGAGAACTTCCTCCGTTTGT